CACACAAATTTATAATTTATAATTTATAATATTTTACTGATATTAATAATTTCTCCATAACAAGAAAATAGAAAATGGTCATAATATACCACTGACCGAAAGTCTCAAACTCAAAACTCAAACCACAATCACTACAATTATTATGCTGCTTTTAATGTGTTGCCAATATCAATAACAAAGCGATAACGGACATCAGCTTTTGCAAGACGCTCCATTGCAGTGTTGATATATTCAATGGGAATGAGTTCAATCGCTGCCGTTATATTATGTTTTGCTGCAAATTCAATCATCTCTTGTGTCTCCTTTATCCCTCCTATCAAACTTCCTCCCACCATCTTCCTACCTGTCACATGCATCATCAAATCTCATTAATATTTCTTATTCATACAAAATATACTCAACCACATTTTAATGAATTCAGGAAAAATAAATAAAAGATTCATACCAAAAAGCAAAGGAAAAGCAGGTAGCTCATACGGCTTGGTTGGACCACCAACCAAAACCAGTTTACCATTAGGCTTTAACAGAGCAATCAAAGGCACAAGAGGATGATCAGCAGAAACAGTGTCAATAATTCCATCCATAGAACCCACACCACCCTGCATCTGGGCTTGATCACGACTCACCAGGAAAGAATCAGCACCAAAAGTATTAATAGCTTCTTCTTTTTTCTTGGGACTGGTGCTGATCACAGTAACCTTAACACCAAGAGCTTTAAGAAACTTAACAGCTACATGACCCAACCCACCAAGCCCAACCACACCAACATGCATTCCAGGCTTATCGAGCCCATAGTATCGGATTGGGCTGTAAACAGTGATTCCAGCACACAGAAGAGGTGCACCACCATCAAGTGGGTAGTCTTTGGGCCATGTGACGATGAAGTGTTCGTTGGCTACCATGTGGTCAGAGTAACCACCGTAGGTTACCATAGAAGAGTCATTGTAGGTTTGTACCATTTTTGGGCAGTATTGCTCTTGATCTGCACCACATTGATCGCATGAATGGCAACACCCAACCATACAACCCACCCCCACTTTGTCTCCTACTTTGACTTTTTTGACCTTGCTGCCCACTTCAGTCACCACACCCCAATCTCATGTCTGCAACGATCGACAAAAACAGTAGCAATTTGTTACAAAAAGTAAGTATCAAAAGATAACCCTAATCAGTAGCATATGAAAATGGAGGAGTGATTAATTAGTAATTAGTTAACTACCCAGGGATCATGGGATACTTGGCGTTGTGCCATTCATTCCTGACAGAGTGAAGATCAGAGTGACAGACTCCACAGTACAACACTTTGAACCTCACGTCTTCATCCCCTGTTTCCCTATAATCATCATTCATCACAGATTGGACATGAGTCAGCAAAAACTATGAATGCTTATTATACGAAGAAACTCGTTGATTAATGGTATATAGCTATTGGTATCAGATATTACTTGAGCTTAGATGTAATTATCGATGATTTAGCGTCATAATCAAACAGTTTACAGAAAAAGAAAAAAAAAGGTACTTCAGACTTTTAAGCGTCCAAAGTAAAATAATAATCATATTAACAAAAACGTCGTAATTACTCGAAAAGTCAAGAAAGTAATATGAATATTCACTATAAAACAAAAAGATATTCCGATCAACTTGGAACTCGACAAAAAGAATTTTACTAATCATTCACTAATTTAGTATTGAAGTTCCAAAATAATATATCAGATCTGTGTATTGTATATACTTTCTAAAGTGTTAAAACAAAAAATTAAACCATAACAATCTACGTGAAAGGAAATAATAAACAAATTATACCTCCGGGAGAAGTTAATGGGGGAGAGTACGCCAGAAGTGTCTCTGGCGGCGTAGCCCAAGGCCTTAACAGCATGCTCCGTCTCAGGTGAACTCCCCATCGGCGATTACTGTGACTGTGTGTGTTTTCCGATGAAATGTGTGATAGAAAAAAGTGAATGCAAATGTGTATGTGTGTTTAATTTGATAGAGAAATGATGCGTTGCGCTATTGGGAATATATGGTGGAGCAGTGTCCATTGAGTTATAGTGAAAAAGTAATGCTAACGTAACAGATGATGTACAGGGAGTCATACGGATTTAGTTGCTAACGTCACAGATGACGAACTCTGATACGGAAACCCCGATAGGGGTCAGTTGTGTTATTCGTGAGAAATTATATTTTATGTCTTTACATTAAAATCGAATATTCATTTTGGAAGTATATATTATGTCTTTATTGTTTTTATAATACTTATTTTTAGAAATTATATAATAATTAATTAAATAATTTCTAAAAATCATTTTTACAAAAACAATAAAGACATAATATATGCTTCCAAAATGAATATTCGATTTCAATGTAATTTTACATTAAATTTGATAGTGATCAAAAGGGTTTGTCACATCTCTACAAAATAATTAAATATCTAAGTTATTGAAAATATTATAATTTCAGTTAGTTTTTCACTGTAATTTATTATAAAGATTTACCCGTAAGCAAAATAGGATCCTTAACATTTAAAATTGGAAGTCACATAATGGTTAAAATTTAATTTCTAGAATCTTTGCAATTGATATTAATTGCTAAAGGTTAATGACCGCATATGATCATTTCAAATTTTTAGAAGTTTTTATGAAAATAACTAAGTTACAACCCGTGGGAACCACGGGTAAAATATTTTTCAAATTTTATTAAGTTAATAAGAATAAAGTTTTTTTTTTTAACTTTTGTATTGATTGCTTAACATTAATATATATTTATTTGAATATCTGATATACGTTATGTATTATGTATGTGAATACATTTAATATAACTATGATTTATAAAATAATTTATTTAATAAAAGATCAATACATGCCCAGTTTAACTAAAATGTTTTTCTTGTAATATCTTTATATATTTAATCAACCATATTTTTCCCATTATTTTTGTTTCTTTTTCATAAATTAAATAATATTTAAATATCATTATTTGCTAAAAAAAGTATTTGTGTTTTCGCAATAACATTATAAATTTGTATAGCGATTAAAGGACGACTTAACAATTACTCATATATTCTAGTATAGGACTCTATAGAGTCCTAATTGAACAAAAATATCATAATCCTTGCTTTCATGCGATGAATTTCATCACAAAAAAGTAGTTTGACACAAATGTAACGAAAATCAACCCATGACATCAAATAATTCAACTACAAGTACAAAAAATTTCTTATATCTTGATTTTGATAAATCGATGTCTTCTTGTTTTGCTTATAATTCTTACATAGAGTAGTTTTAGCTTCTTTGTCGGCTCTTGTGATCGTAATGCAACTGTCAATTGTCGATGGAGTTTCCTTAAGGAAAGCTTCATGTAATAGAGCAACATATATCCAACTTATTCATTTAGTTAGTTACAACTCGTGCCTGCAACAACACCATTCTAGCTATAAACAAAAACATAGTCCCAATAAAATGCATCAAATATGAAAAATGAAAGGGTGGTATTTTGGTCTTGTAAAAGAAAAGGAAATGAATTAAATTTTGATTCCTTCAACCCATCCCTTGAATGATGAAATGTAGTATAATATGCAACCTGAAATTTTAACAAAATTAGATTCAATCCATTTGGCATCAACAAGTAAGTTATACCATAGTTAGATGTTTGGCCGTACTGATGAGCTTAAAGAAAATGGTATATAATAAATTGGCACACTCCAAGTTGAACCAACTTGCCTCGCCTAGCATTGAGATGGAAGAAAAAAAAAGATGAAAAATAAAAAGATGGAAGTTATCTGTAATCTAAGTTATAATAATAAAATAGTTGATTTATAAAGCACAATAATACGTATTGACAATTTCAAAAGATTGCCACAAGCAACAAAGTTAATCAAGTATATTGACACAAAGACTAAAAAGAATTAAAAAGAAAATAAATACATGTATGATACAACTGATAATTGCTAGCAAGAATCATCTACAACCACAATGAAAAAGATGGTGAGAGTTTACTATTCTTCATTATTATTCATTGCATCAAAATATTTCAAAGAAAGTATGAACAAATGATATGTCATTAATCAAGATGATCTTTCAAAATGGTCTTATTTCGTTCTATGATTGCATTCCTCTTCCAATTCTCTACAACTTTCTTAACAATAGAAATGGCTTTGCAATCTTCTCAGCAGAAAACATGTGCTCTATAATTCCTAAAGGTCCTGTTGGAGTACTTTGACCATAGTCTCCATCTCATGCTCAACCGACCTATAGAGTTCAAAATCCACATAAACATCAACAATCAAATTTAATCATACATGTATTCATATAAAATTGCATTATTGCAGAACAATAAAATGTAAGGAACACCTCTTCCGGTTTTTCCAGATTGAATTGAAAACAAACCCTAACAAACTACTTTGAAAAACATAACATGAATGACGGTCCAAATTAACGTGTCTAAAATTATTAACACCTCACAATACTAACTCGAAATGTCAGAATCAAAATGAAGCAGATTAACACTAATAAAGAAACAATAATTCAAGAAAACAGAAAATTGTTCGACATCATACTTCATCACTTTAACACCTTTGGGATAATAAAAACCCTACATATATGGAGATACATGGTAAATATCGAGAGATCGATGCGATGATGGAGGAGGCAATAACGTGGATTTGAAGATGGGTGTACCGAGAGTTAGGCGATTTTGATTACATTCGAGGAATTAAAATGAAGGAAGGGTATCAAAGTAAATTAACAATGAATGGAAAATGAAATGTGGGAGTGACACGTCATCAAAGGATTGTTTTATTAAGAGAGAAGATATGATCGTTTCCAAAAAAAAAAATCTTTAAATGAAAATTATATTATATAACTAGGTTATAACCCGTGGAAACCAAGGTTCGCAAAGTAAAATAACATACAAATTATAAAAAATTAGTAATCGTTATTAATAGATTTGCAGTCATTAAGTTTTTTTACAAAATTTAATATGTTAACCGTTACAAGATTGTGGGTATGGTGACTGAGGTGGGCAGCAAGGTCAAAAAAGTAAAAGTAGGAGACCATGTCGGGGTGGGTTGTATCGTCGGGTGTTGCCATTCATGCAATCAATGTGGTGCTAATCAAGAACAATACTGCTCAAAAATGGTACACACATATAATGATTCTTCTGTGGTAACCTACGGTGGTTACTCTGACCACATGGTAGCCAACGAACACTTCATCATCTCATGGCCCAAAGACTACCCACTTGATGGTGGTGCACCTCTTCTGTGTGCTGGAATCACTGTTTACAGCCCAATCCGATACTATGGGCTCGATAAGCCTGGGATGCATGTTGGTGTGGTTGGGCTTGGTGGGTTGGGTCATGTAGCTGTTAAGTTTCTTAAAGCTCTTGGTGTTAAAGTTACTGTGATCAGCACCAGTCCCAAGAAAAAAGAAGAAGCCATTAATACTTTTGGTGCTGATTCTTTCTTAGTAAGCCGTGATCAAGCCCAGATGCAGAGTGGTGTGGGTTCTATGGATGGAATAATTGACACTGTTTCCGCTGATCATCCTCTTGTGCCTTTGATTAGTCTCCTAAAGGCTAATGGGAAATTGGTTTTGGTTGGTGCCCCAACTAAGCCATATGAGCTACCTGCTTTCCCATTGCTTTTTGGTATGAACATTATAACAACAAATTAATGTGGCGATTAAATTGTTTGAATTATAAAGAAATAACAAGGTTTGATGATGGCAGGTAGGAAGATGGTGGGAGGTAGTTTCATAGGGGGGATAAAGGAGACACAAGAGATGATTGAATTTGCAGCAAAACATAATATAACGGCAGCGATTGAACTCATTCCCATTGAATATATCAACACTGCAATGGAGCGTCTTGCAAAAGCTGACGTTCGTTATCGCTTTGTTATTGACATTGGTAACACATTAAAAACCGCATAATCTCATAGTGATTCGCTCCCCGTTGTACAGAAGAACGATCTTCGGAGTCAACGTATTATCCACTTTATTTATTATTTCAAATACCAGACCCATTTCTAACCGATCGAATTTCCGATTTTCGTCAAAGAAAAAAAAACAGGGAAAACTTTGAAATTTCAAAACACATTTTCCGATTTTCGTCAAAAAAAAAAAAAAAAAACGTTCAAAGCACGCAATGTTGTTCGAAAATGTGAGGGTGGTCATTTCCGAAATTTGCTAAAAAGTTGGGTTTTTTTTTATATATATATACTAGGTAAGTTTTGAGGCCCGTGCTAAGCACGACCCACTAAGAGCAATTTGATTATTTTTTAACATTAGGGTAGAATGTCATAGTCAGAAGGATTTTTCCAAATAGAATGTTCAAAAAAAAAAAAAAAAAAAAGATGAAACTACAAAGTTGTAATATGAATTTGGGTTATACCAGGTAGTGTTTCTCTCGTGTGACATATAGTGTAAGTTAGGTATTTCATGTGTGCAACATATAGTTAAGTTGGGGATTTTGTTTGATGTTGTCTAATATATACTCTGTTAATACTAAAAATGAAGTAATATTACAATGCTTGTATGGGCGAGGAAAATGAAATTCATTGTCATTTCTTATAAAAATGAAAGTACATAGTCGATATTGGTAAAAATAATAAAGTCTGTTGCCATTTCCTGCAATTTATATATTCTACTAACATCTACGAGCTGAAGTGTAAAGAAATAAACCATGTAGGCCTAACAAAATCTCATTCTAAATTGTAAATGGACATATATAAAGATTCAAATACAAATAGCTTTATATATTATTCACAACGACTGTATAAAGATCATTAGAACCTAACAAAAAATGCAAGAAGTTTTGTCATGGTTCTTTCTTGCAATTTCACCTTCAGTTGCTTTGCAATTGCCCATACATCTTCACATTATTGATGCTTCTTTACAAAGAATAATTAAAAAGAAAAACTTTTTGTTTGGGGTTACATTGAGGTAACAATTGAAATGTGGGGTTATCGTGCATTTTAATCACCGTTGTAACTAATTTTAAAGATATCCAATAGATAAAAATCAGTGAACTCATACAACAACCATTTCTCCAGTTTTCCCTCAGAGATTGATGGTGTATTTCTTGTATTTGTTCTATTGGTAGAATGCTTCAACGAAGCATCTGAGATCTACAGTAAGGAAATGCCAGCATTTCCCTAACAACTTTATCTGCTTTCCAACCCGTGAAGTCAGCTGAAAGCAGTTCACAATATCAACAAAAATAATAGGGCTAAATGCAAGAAAGAGTAACGCCATGTACTTACGTCATTTTTTTTGAATTTGTACAAATATAAGTAATTATTTTTCGGTGCATGTGATACAATTCTTGAACCTTGTTAGTCTTTTCAAAGTGTAGTTGTTAAAATTAAAAAATGACCATTATACCTTTTCTCTTTCATAGGGATCCAAAAATATTTCCCACACTCTACAGAGTATCCTTGTAGTAGAACTATGTTTGGGTGCCTTAAACTAACATATTTGAAATATTTTCTAGAAAATTATCTTCCTCTTTGTAGTGACAATGACACAATGTTGCATTATCTATCTTTCTTAATGGCTATCATCTATATAATAGTGATATTTAGCAGCAAACCTGTCATGAACAACCAATAACATGGTTTCTCCATCCTCGATGACAATTCTTCACATGCACAATCTGATGCCATGATAAGCATCACTATGCCCTTCAGACGAAAATAACTCCAATTTGAAGACTCCTCTTACAAAACAACAAACATAAGCAACATGAAAAAGTTTTTTATAGGTGTCAAGAGGGGATTCTTATAAAGCTTGTGAAAATCATTTTCATTTCATTAGAAAACTAATCAGTGTGAGAGAAACACATTCAGAAAACTGGATCAAAACAAAAATAAGATGTTCAACGAACAAATCATATAATGTGTTAGCAATATTAACAATTCCACCTAAATGAATGGCATTTTTCAATTTTGTGCATAGCTATGATTCTTGTAAACCCAAAGAAAATGATATAAAAAATAGATAGTTATATACCTGCCATAAAGGATGGAGATAAGAAATTGACTCCATTTTACCACTTGTTTTGTATATTTTTGATACATGAAGAAGGTTTATCAAATTTCAAAACAATCCACTCAAAATAAACAATAATTAAATTTTATGCGCTTGAAAACATTTTATTTATATTAAAACTAACTAAACCAAATTTTCTTCCTTTGAATTAATCTCAATACACACTCAAAGAAATGAAATAAAAACAACAATCAATAATACAAACCTTGTTGGGGAGGAAAAGAAGCAAATATTACAGAAATCCTAATTTCTTGCACATTTGAATAAAATTGGGATGAAAAGTAAAACTTAACAGGAAGATAATACATAAGAATAAGACGGGGCTGTCTTGAAATCATCTATTGAATGAAGCTAGTGCATCCTTATCATTCAACTAACAAAAACACATCCAACCCAAATCACCAATAGAACTATGACAACTTGAAAACAATCGTATTCCAAAAGGTATATAAATAATACCTTTTCCGTTGCCATGATTAAAAATCAACAACCAAGAAATCAAGAAATTGGAGAAAAAGAGTTTGTTGCCATCCAGAACAACTGGAGACAAATTCAATGAATCCCCTGGATTATATAAAAGCCCAATTATAAAGAAATTAATGAAGATCGTAACATAACAATAAACATACATGAAAAACATAAGAATGAAATCAATAGCAATACCATCGTTCAAGCATATAAGAGTTAAGAAGATAGCCGGTGGATGAATGAAAAAACTTGCACCAATTTGTGTGTAATTGTGGTTTTTTTAGAGGAGGCGTCGTCGGTATTATAATTGGTGGCAAACCCTAATATTATAACCCTGTATGAGGAATTTAAAATCACAAAGGGTATGTCATGAAACAAAAATGGGATCGATTATCCATGTCGGTGATCAATCGATACATCAGATTGGGGAATATGAGGCAATGCGATTCGATGTTATTCTCCATGGCGGAAATGTGAATCGGCGTTATTCTCCATGGCCTCGTTTAGAAGAAAGGTTAAGAGGCGGATTGAGCAGCCGTTTCCCTGAACCTTCCATGAAGTTCGTGAAGAAGTAAGACAATGGGGGAAGCGATGGCATATCGGGCACCTTGGAGAAGATATCTAGTAGAGGGAAGGCGTCGCCAATTTAGTTCTGCACGAAGAGGAGCGGTTGTATGGTAAGGTAGGTCACAAGGGGAAGCGGATACGGTGCACTGGAGAAAATTAGGCGGTGTGAATCGACGTCAATGGCGTCGTTAGAATATAGGTGACGTGGCGTTTAATGAAGGTGGAAATTTGATTTTGGAGGCATGAGAAAAACAAGGTTTTTATATATAATAATGATATATATATATATATATATATATATATATATATATATATATATATATATATATATATATATATATATATATAAACACCCTTTTTATCTCCTTACGCCAAAATCAAATCTACAGAGTTTGTTTCACGCCACGTATCATATCTTCATAACGACGTAACCTTCAGCAACAGGCGTTTTTAACTTCGCATCCTCCACATAAATAGCCCCAACGATTCAGCGACTCCTCTTCCCCGCTAAGCGCAACTCCAGATTCCTCCTCAAACAATCGACCGAGAGATATGTCTGTTACCGCCACCGCCTTCTTCCACCCAAGACTATTCTCCGGGTCACTTGGTTTTCAGTATCCGCCTTTCCCAATACACCGCGATGACCCCTCGCCGTGATTCTCCATGTAGTTTTGTGACTACACCTGCTTCAATCTTTTTATTGATCGATTTTATTTTCTATTAGTGTGCCAAAATTGAATCGAAACACTTTTCCTGATTCTCAGGTATTCATCCATCCCTTTGAAAAAAGTAATAATTCATAGATATCCCTACTTTTGTCTAAAACTTCGATTTTTAAAACATCCCAGCTTCTTTCCTTATTTTTGGATTGATTGATTTTTAGTAAGTAAGTTTTTGTCGGATTGTGTCTAATAGACGTATGTAATCAGAATTTGGAACCATAGGTTAGTTTAAGGACGATTGGTTCTTTATGTGGGTATACATATAGAGTAGGAAGATGTTGAATATGTCATGCAAAAGAAGAATTTAATTATGCTCATAACGTGTTTGATAAAATGCCTAAGAGAAGTTTCATCTTTAGAACCTTAATGATTAAATGACAAGAAGAAAATAAATGATTGATTTTCACATACCGACATTGAGGTGGTTGTATTCATCGTTGGAAGTTCAAGATGAACGTGAAAAGGTACTTGTTTTTCTTCTTCTAAGCCTATCAAAAATTCAATTTGGACGTTTTAGAACTTTGTGCGATGATATCATGCCAAGTGCTTATGAAAATGCCTACGTGATAATTAGAACCAACAACATGATTCCCACTACTAAATAAAGCAAGGTTATTTTGATATTTGTGAAAATTGATACATGGAACTAGAAATTTCATTTCAGTAGGGTCGGATTCCCTGTTGATCAATCTTATATTTACATGTTTTTTATGCAAACATTTACACATACACATCTATGATAAGAATCATGTATATATGTTATTCCCTTAAAAAAAACTCAAGTATGTTCCACTCTATTCCTAATTTAACTATTTATTTATGTCCTATTTTAAGTTTATTTATCTTGTGAAAAAAAATTATTATGTAAAACAATGTTAAAGTAACATGAATGACTTGTTAGCAGAAGTTGTTTCAGGGTTTGTTTAGGGTGCTTAAGAGTTTTTTTGGCACAAGCACTGAAACAGGAATCATCTGATATGTTTTTCTTACAATCATTAAAGAGGGTTACCATAAAGACATAATTGTCAAACCTCTTATTGTTAGGAATAAACTACAAACATGAATTGAGGGTTTGGAAATACTTTACTTGATGGACATTCAACGTGTCAGGTAAGAAGTTAAAGT